CGCTGCTGCTGTCCGCAGCCTTCGGGTCTTGGCCCTTGTCGGTCGACGGACTGCTGCTGCTCGGCTGGCTGCTGCCTGTGGCTTCCGTGGCACTCGTGGAAGTAGAGGTGGAAGATGTCTGCGATTGCACGGCATCACCTTGTTCGACTGTAGCCGGAGCAGGACTTTCAACAGACTCCCCATTGGGGTGATCGGCAGCAGCACTCTCAGCCTCAGGTGTGTTTCCTGCAGGTGATGAGACAACAGAGCCATTGGCATTATTCTTCGCACCGGTAGGGTTATCATCTCCCCCATTTATGTCAGGTGCTTGGGGAGTTTTTGCTTGGGGAGTTTTTGCTTGGGGAGTTTTTGCTTGGGGAGTTTTTGCTTGGGGCTCACCCTTTAGTTTGTCTGGCTTGTTGATTATCTGGATTTTGCTCTCCTTGCATTTCTCGCCAGATTCCTTGGGTTCACCATTCTTGCAACGACCCTCTGCGTCGCCGTCGTCACCAGGGTCAGGGGCATCACCTTTCTTTGATAGGGCGCTCTGCGCTTCCCTTTCCGTTTCGGTGGGGCTTACGTCGGGACCTCCTGCCTTCAGCGTGCCAGGAACAGGTTTCACAGGCTGGCCGCTCTCCTGCTGTTGATGTTGTGATAACGCAGCAGCAGCAGCAGCAGCAGGGCAATCGGTAGACCTACCCAAATCAGTCGGGCAGGGCACAACAGACTTATTCTCCAACTGACCGGCTTGTCCCTCATTGCCGTTTTGTCCGCTTACTTCACTACGCTTTGAGCCATTAGGCCCTGCAGGCCCTGTTGGCCCGTGAGCACCAGTATCAGCTTTGGCAGTGCGGACGCCATCCTTCCCAACCTCAGGCGTCTTGGCCTTACACGCCTCTTTGCTTTTAGACTTGTCGTCAGACCCGCTGCACAACGAAACCGCGACCGGCTCCTGTAGTCGGCCCTCCACGGTACTGGAAACAGCGGTACTCTGTCCGTTTTCTTCACCCTTAATCTTTTTCTCGGATTGTTGGCAAGCATTGGCACCCTCTCCTCTCCCATCAGACGGAGTGCAAGTAACCTTGGGCAGGGTTCTCCTATCTTCACGCTCCGTTTCCCCTTCGCAAGTCGAGTTCTCTTCACCATTAGCGTTCAGGCAGGAACGCGGAGGGCTCCTCATTTCCAGTGATCCAGCATCGCCAGAAGATCCCTTAGGTCCACCAGGCCCAGGAGACTCAGGATCTTCGGAAGGCGGACACTCTTGTGTGCCTTCAGCCTTGCAAGGACCACGCTCAGCACCCGCCGCAGCGCACCCGCAGCCACACCACACAAGGAGCACACACACAAACAACACGCAGCGCAGTGCCTTCATCGCAATGTGAATAGCCTGTAAAGAAAAGAGAGGCGGAAAACCAAAAGAAACTGCCAAACAGCACCACACGAGCCACTCACTAACATCATCCCCACGCAACACTCCGCCCCTACAAAGAAACAGTCGAAAAATAGATGCCCCACTACGACAAGCCCAAGCGTGGCAGGGCTGCGGTGTGTTGTGCCCACAGGAGCACTCCCCAGCAGCAAAGCAACAAGAAGAAAACCAGATGTATCAACCCCCCGAATGTGTGTCCCTGCCCCACACCCAACACACAGC